CTACGCATCTGTATACATACTTCTCACTACTCTTACCGGATTCAACTTACTTAAGATTCATTCTCCTATCTCGTGCTTTTCTTTCAACCTTGAACGAAGTTAGATAAGTGACATTACTAAGTTTTTATCGGATTTCGTATTCATGCGATAGGCTTATATAATATTTGTATTCCATAAGCTTTCTAGATCAGTGGCAAATAGTGTCCTTCAAAACTCACTCATTCAGCCAGAGTTTATCCTTCTATTTCACTTTCTACCTACATGCGAATTCATTGGTCTTAACATTTATAGCTCTTAAACTTTTATCAAAGAACAATGTCGGTTCTAACTTCTCTTGGTACCCTTTTTCTTGGTCTTCTCATTAAGTTCCTGATTGCGAACATGCGTCAGAAGAGGACAGTCTATCTTGCCCATTGAGAAGTCGTAAAATATAACGGCTTCATTTGGCGCGCACTTGGCACCCCCAGTATAGTTGAAATCCGATAGCCTCTGGTGACACTTGACCACAGTCTCGGCGTATCTCGCCGCTTCGGTAAATATCACAATATTTCTGGTTGCCAAGCCAGTAACCTTACTTCGAATTAATTGGCGCAGCATAGAGCCGGTGTAATCCAAATTGATGAGGTGCTCAAAAGTAGTTGGCATATCAAACGGTTCAAAGCTCGGCACCTATAGAAACGGGAGATTAAGATATCCGAAAACCAATATAATCATTTAAACACAGTTATTCTCAAAATAGTCTCAAATAAATAGACATATGATGATATTCTCTATGGTATTGCTTATTCAAGAAAATTAAAATAATAATATTTCCCGGATATCAGGTTCAATTATTTATGGATCGCTTATATTTTTGACTTATGGTTGGGATTATGATTTTTATACTTCGTGTGTGGGTCTCCTCTTTCAAATGAAATTCACTATCTCATCCTATTTGAGAGTGGATACTTTGGGCTACTTTTTTGTTTTTATATTTCGCGAGGGCCGAGTCCACTCCCCTTGCAGCATGGGTGATCACAAATATAGTTTATTGTGTAATCTTACGCTTATTTGTTTCAAATGAAGAGAAAGTGTAGGCTACAGCTTTTCATTTCAATAGAAACCGATATTTATTATATTTTTCTCCGCGACGCATATAGTGCAGATATTTATTACTCGAGGGTGTAGGTTGGACGTTGTGTCATATCAGGCTTCTTTTTAAGACACTTGGTAGTCGGATCCTACATTTTTTTAGATAAGAGGTGCTTTTAAGACAGACTCACGTTCACTCCCTCCCACTCAGTTATTAGCGAATTTCCCCCTCTTAGCTTTAACTATCCCGAGACTTGCCTAAGATATTTCATTAAGTGCCTAAATATCTCGTACTATTTGTCTGATGCCAATTTTACCTTTTAAGCAGATTTTTGGTAGTTTTCGTGCAATTTTTAATGAATTTTTCTCAAATTTATCTCACATAACACGCCCCACTACCGTAGGGGTTACTGTCTAAATTTTCGTCTTGACTAAGCGGAATTTGGCCATCACAATGGGTCATTTTGATTAGTCCATTCTTTCAATATAAACTACAATGAACTTCAAGGAGGAAAGATTCTCTATAACATGCAATAACCATGCCATAAGCCCGTTCTTTAGTGATAATATCGAGATGGCTTTGTAGTCATCACAATAGATGTTGACCTTTACGTGGATCGAGACAAGCATTGCAACCTTCCAATCTGGAAGTGTAGGTAAACCTTCATTTCCATTCCAATAAGGATGAAGCATTATTCTGCCTAAAATTTTATGGCTTCTGTTTTTATAATTGTTGAGTTTACTTACATTTCGAGTGAAAGTATTTTGTGAAGAGATTCGAAGGTCGATTTCACCAGAAGACCACGGCGGATTCTTCTTGACTAGTTGTCGATTGGATTTACTGAAAAATTTATGGTGACGCTGTTTCAGAGGTAATTGCTTTCGATTCCGGTGAAAAAGTGCTAAGCTTTCGTCTGTCATTTGACGAACATCATCAGAGCAAGGTATCATCGTCACAACCTAATTCAAGCTAACGAGTCATGGAAACGATACCTTGCTCCCATGATGTTCGTTATATGACAGACGAAAGCTTAGCACCTTTTCATCGGAATCGAAGGAGATTACCTCTGAAACAGCGTCACCATGAATGTTCCAGTAAATCCATTCGACAGCTGGTTAAGAGGAATCCGCTCTCGTCCTCTGGTGGAATCGACCTTTAAATCTCTTCACCAAACACTTTCACTCGAAGTGGAAGTGAGCTTAACAATTATGAAACAAGATATTCTTGAAACCAAACTTTTCTTTCCATTTTTATGACAGCATATCTCATTTTGCTTATTGTTTGTTAGGACTGTATTGAGTAAAGACCCATATTTTCTGCGAAATGCGCATTCCTGAACATAGTTCCGTTTTTTTTGTATATGCATTTATCCGCAGCTAAAGTTGGGATTTTTGAACTTAGATTATCCTGGGACTTGCATTTTTATTGCCAGAGCCTAAGGGCAGCATTTGTTCACATTCACACCAGCTCTGATGCAGTCTATTTCTTCTATGTGCATAGCCAAAGCAGCTCTCGTTAAGTCTATTCTATGAATCTTCTTGACTTGCCTGGCTTACTCTTCTTTCAGATTAATTGTATATAGGTTCGATCATTCTCTTTATTTAGGACAGCCGTAAATAAGTCATTTATAATTAAATTCTTCCGTCCTGTGCCTCTAATTTATACAGATTAAGAGGGTTTGATGCATTTTTCCATACACTCTCCTAGACATGTATTTAGTCAGAATTTCCTCTGCATACATTTTTCTCAAAAAAGTTAAATTTGAAAGATAAACATCTATAGATCCTTGATAATACCTCGCATATTGCAGTACCTGCACCTCCAAAGATGTTTATCAAAGTAATACTCAGTGCATTATAACGGCGAATTGCTCAACTAACAAACTAAAATAATTTACATTGTGGCGCAATCCTAAATACTATCAGAATAATTTCTCAATTACTTCTGCAAGATACTTAATTCTACACAATATGCCTATTGTTTGAGACACTAAGAGCTCTATATAATTTAACACCTATTTGCGAGTTATCAGTGATATCTAGGTGAAAATAAACTCTATTTAAATTTGGTCTCGCTCATCGGTTTCTTTCACTGTAAGACGCTTAAATTTTAGGTTTATCAAATTTTCCTTAAATTTTGGCATTAAATCTTTGTTGAAAGTTCAGACTTTTTCTCACCTTGAATGTCATCTGGATCCATTTATCCGGCATGTCAAGATCAAGTCGGTTGATATCATCTTCCATCACATATTTGTTGCCAAGGGCCCTCCAGATAGCCTCATAGAGTCGAGAATACTCCACTTGACCGATATTTTCCGTGTCCATCATCCGATAAAGGGCGTGAATTTCCACGTCGTTTAGAGATGGACTGAGATCTCCTAAGGCTACTTTAAACTCAGCTTTGCTGATCATTTCTCGGTTGTAAAGGCTCATATATTTTATATATTTTTTCTCGTTCTTCGCGTACCAGTTGTCAACGCGGTCAACGAACTTCTCAAATGTCTCCCAGTTCTTCATATACTCGGCAATGCTTTGTTCCATAATTGTGTCATCTTTTTTTGACAACTTCTCGAGCCTGGTTAATTGAGCTTTTGATTTGGCTGAGAGGTTTTCGTAGGCTTGGTTGGCTTAACGTTTAGGAATTGAATGTGTTATCATGTAAGCAACATCACTTTATGACTTTCGGTAATTGCAATATTATAGTACTGAGTTAAGTAAATTATTTGATGATCATCTACTAAATTTCGAATTGAATTTAGACTTATAGTCAAGCATACAAAAATGTTAATATAAACACAATTCCGTTAGAAGAGTTAAAAAATTTTGTGAACAGTGCCTAGAACCATCTAGTTTAAAAGCAACCGCTTGATATATACTAACGGAAGTTTATCATCAACAGTTGACAGCATCTCCATCATTGGCTGCATCTAATCATTCCTCTCATCCGAAGTCTATAACAGGCGTAAGAAACATCTAAACAGCATCCTATTTGTGATGAGAGCGTGCAGAGGAATCAAGAAATGAAAGAATTCTAGCACGTATCATCAGTTGAATTAATACAGTTCAATGTAAAATTGCCATTTGATTGTAGATGAAATAATTTGAAATTGGCTATGCGTAACCTAGTAGAAAATTTTGATACTTGTTGAACAGGAACCATTGAAAACGTGTATTGAGATTATATTCAGTGCTAATTTAGTGTTTATATAAAAGAGCTACCTTTTGCTTTCGGACTGACCATTTAGTATAGGGTATTATAAAGTGTGTTTAGCTTGAATAACCGTGTCATAATTTTTACAATCACTTACTGGCTTAAGGCGCAGTGAAAGCTAGTAGATAGTTTCTGCATCCTTATGCTTACCATTTTACTTTACTATTATGTCACAGTTGTTATTTCCGCTGATGGTACAACAATATTTGAAAAATATAAGCTCTAGGAATTTCTGCAGGATCAATGGTGTCGGCTTAATTAGCCATATTTAAAGTTTTCTTGGGAAAATTAGAAGTTTTGTAACATTGTGATCCAGAACGCATGCAAAATTCTGAAGGAGAAATGCATTGCATTTAATATAGACCTCTATCTTCCTTCAGCAAACATTTCCTATATTTTATTTTCAGCTTCTTTGGACTCAAAAAGTTAATTTCATATTATACAATTTTATGTCGGGGAATAGGTTTAAAAGGCAGTAATTTTTCTATGTATTCTTTTATGATAACTGTAGATGTTCTTGTCTCCGACCTTGACCGATTCAGTGCAGAGCGAAGTCTAAGGTTGAAAAAATTTTCACAATGATCAGAGCCTTTGCGATAATGCTAGAACCACGACATTAGAAATTTTTTTTTAACAAAAATAAATCCATGTCCATCTTTTTGCAAACTTATACACTTTAGTCGAAGACATGAAGACCAAGATGGTGTGGCCTTTTGTGTGGTCGAAGTATCCTTTCGTTGTATAGAAGTTGTTTGAGCTTGTTTTCGCTACTTGGTCATATTGGTAGGAAGACTTGGGGGAACACATCTAGTCCGGAGTCCATTTCATGCATGATAATTTCTAAAGTTGGACCGTGGACGAAGTACATTCCCAGACGTTTCGCCGGAATTGTATTCGGGAATCTGCGTGAGTCTTGCCATTTTTAGCACCATACTACAACTCGTCAGAGACAAGTGAGTCCTATCCTTTGACCAAATTTCTGCTAAACAGTTGTGTATCTCCCCTTCTGTCCTGGGCTATTCACCTTCTATATCGTATCACGTCTTCACAATCACAATTTTTCCTTGCTTATTTAAATCTAGTGCAGTGTGCCCTTTTGAGCGGCTGTTATCAGAACTTTCCACACTCCACACTGATGTTCTCACCCCCCTTCACCGTTATGCTGGGAACGTTGATCAGAGTCTGCTATATTTTTACGCAGTCCTCCTTCCATAGGTCTTATCAGAGTCTCTAATTTGCCCTGTAGGATCAGTCTGTTATCTCCATGGTTCAAGTATTTCACTCGACCCCTACCACCTCATCTGTGATACTCGAGGTATTAATTTCGCTTCCCTGCGTCTGGGTGACTAATTTGAGGCTAAAACCTCTGCCAATCCACAAATGTTGGGGTACTGCTTGCTTTGATTAGGTTCAATTTTGAACAACAACGTTTGTGGGTAGGCACACAAGAGACTAGGGCATAGAAAGTCATATACTTGGTATTACGAATAGAAACAGGATAGACGCTGCGGAAACTGGAGCTAATTGGCTGACAGTAGGCTTGTTTTATTAGAGCCATGGTCCATGAAACAAAGGCTTGACCATGAGAATTACTCGGGGTCTTTAGCCTCGAATTAGTCACCCAGACGCAGGGATGTGGTAATAATACCTCGAGTATCACACATGGAGTGGCAGGGGGTGAGTGAAATACTTGAACTAGGGAGCTAGCAGACGGATTATATAGGGCAAAATGGAGACTGATAAAACCTATGCAAGGAGGACTGCGTAACAATATAGCAAACTCTGATCAGCATTCCCAACGCAAGGGTAAAGGGGGATGAGAACGCCAGTGTGGAGTGTGGAGGGTTTTCATGAAGGCTGCTCAAAAGGACACACAACATTACATTTAAATAAGCAGGGGAGAAATTGTAACAGTGAAGGCCTAATATGAGGATATAGGGGACGTGAAATGCCCATGCCGGAATGACAGATACCACAACTGTTTAGCATACATATTTTGTCTGCTTCACTTGCCTCTTTGACGAGTTGTTGTATGGTGCTAAGAATGGCAATACTCACTGGCGATGCCGGCGACGCGTCTGGAAATGTACCACATCCGTGGTCCGACTTTGAAAATTATCATGCATACAATGGACTCCGGACTAGGTGCATTACTCTAAGTCTTCCTACCAATATGACCAAGGTGCGAAAACACGGTCAAACAACTATTAGACACTTTACTTTTTTGGAATGCAGTAAGAAATTGGTGCATGTTCGATTCTTTCTTACTTGACTGTACCTAGACATTCTAGACGCTGGAACAGTTTATTCGCGATAATATAAGGCATTAGACTTATTTTATTTGTAACACCTGTTATGGATCTGCTGGAATTAACCAACCTTTTTGCTGCTTCAGAAGAAATTAATCATCAGATAAAGGCGTGCATTTTCACGTCCTTACAACTTTTACAATTGTAACTTTGTACTAAAGATGCTGGCTCCGATGCCCAAGAGACGTGTGTGAATGTACCAAGTCACTGATCCGATGCTGGAAATCACTAACAATATGGCAGAGGGCACAGAGCTAAGTATGT